ACCATGTTGACCAGGATGATCTCGATCTCTTGACCTCGTGATCCACCCGCCTCCGCCTCCCACAGTGCTGGGATTACAGGCTTGAGCCACCGCGCCCGGCCTTGTTGTATGCTTTTTATAAACAGTAGCAGTTTTCCTGTCCAGCCCACCACTCCCGGACCAAATTGTATGTAACTCCTCAATAAACGCTGTGTCTGATTCACTGGCTCTGGGACTCTTCTTCCACCTCTCAGACAGGGTGTCATCCCTATTGAAGTCAATAGGGGTCCTGCACAACAATAGTTCTTAATCAGACTTTTAACATGAGTGTATTGAAAAACTGAATTCCACAGACATTCAAACAACTTATTACTTCTACCAAATATGATTTGGTGTGCCTACCTGTACTCCTAAATCAAGTCATAACAACACTTATTCTGATGTTTTATTTTTAAGATAATTGCTTTACAACTAGATTCATTTTAGAAAACAGTTTTCAATATCTAGTGGACAACTTTCTGAAATGCTATCTATATATACATACACATAAATTTTAAAAATGTTTCTTTCAAAGGTTAAAGCTAGGTGTAAATAATTTTCAATAGCATTATCAAAAATCCAAAAAAAAGGAAAATATAGGATATAATACCACCCTTAAAATATAAGATATAATACCATCCTTATTATTCAATTTGGCATATAAGGCTAAGAATGACTGAGGTACCAATGCTTCCCGTATGTATTAATGCACTTTTCTAGAAAGTCTACTTTTTAGAAGTTAAGTTGGCTTCATATTCCTGGTGTAGCTAGCTTAGTCATTCACACTTTAGCTTAAATTAGTCTGATATAATTTATTTTTTCCTAGAAGCTCAATTAGATCCATCTACTGTGACTTCATGAGAGTTTTGACAAGAAGTAGAAATTGTAATAGCATAGAATTCTTCTTTGGGTTAGATAGTCCTTCATAGCATGATGCATTTTGGGGCTCTTGGGTAATTAAATAGGAGCACCAGACAAATATGAGCTGACATCAACATATAAGCAAAGAAGCAAGAAAATATATGAATGGAGATGAAAGATAAAATTTATGTCTAACATTCAGTATGGTTTAAGAATTGTCCTTCCTCTATAGCAATGCTTATCTCTGAAATAATTCCTTTCCTTCGAGCTCTCTCAAAAACTCTCTTCTAAGGATATAATCTTTAAAACACATTGTATTTGTGTTTTAAAATATTAGGTTCAAAAATCATTTTTCTTAGTAAAATAAATGTCTACTTTCATCCAATAATATATTGGGTTCCTAGTGCTAGTTCCAGTTTTCATCAAGTAGACCTTGATAGTTGACTATTATCATGATCTATAAAGGTTAAAATGTACAATAGAGATTCAGAAAGAAAGGAGAGAAAATGTGTTTCATATAAATCACATTTAAAACATCAAGATACAATAAAATAAAAAATTTCTGTAACTCAAAAGAAGGTTAAATACAAAATACATTTGATTTTGCTGTTGCTGTTTCAGTGAGAAATCTGTTTATCTATGTATCCCAGAAACATGTTAGGTCTTCAACTCTTTTGAAATCAGTTGAAATGTATTTTTGGTGATATCTAGTTACCAAAATACACTGTATTCTAGTACTTTAAGGTCAGTTAAAACATTTGAAACATGCTCCTAAAATAAGCACAGTTCTTTTTACATTTCAAAACTACATAGATTAAAAAAAAATTTGATGTTTGGATTTCATTTATTCTGTTTAACTCATTTTTTTTGTAAATGATAGCCCTTCATTTCAAAAACTTGTATTTCCTTGTTGTTTCCTCATTGCAATTCCCAGTTTTGAACTGTCAGAGAACTTAATATATTATATTACATTATATTAGTAAAAATAATCAAAGGCTTGTAACTCAGTAGCGATTTTTCACCCAGGGAATTTGAAGGTAAGATATTTCTAATTTATAATAAGCTTCCTCAATTATATATAAAACAAATTAATGAATTAAATGATAACTTACTACATGGTTTAATCCACATAGTAAATTTCATGAGATGTGCACATTAATGGTTAATACCATTTATAAAAAAGTAGATCATAACTTTTTTCTATCTTAAAAAGAAACTCAAATATTAAATAATTATATATGCAGAATTTCAGGTTAGCTTTTGATATTCATCACTTTAACTGGAAAACATTCACATTTCCATTAATTACCTAAAATCTTGGATATTCTGGGAAAATAGGGGGACCAACACTTATTGCCATTGGTCCTTAGAGAAATGAGCTGGGAGAACAAGAACGCTGACATTATTTTAAAAGTGATTTGACATATACAGTAAATCAGGGAACACATTAACGAAATAAGGCAGATATTCTATAGAGGTAAAGAGTTAAATCTAAATTATTTATGAAAAAAAATATTTCTCTTTAAATGCTAATGTTTAAAGGAACCCTATTCTACAAGGAACTTGTATGAACTCTTAAAAGTATGCCAACCTCAGAGTGGCTAATAACAATAGTTTTATGAAAAACTAGAACTTGTTCTTGCAAACATCCTAGTTTTTGACCTGCTGGGGAATAAAATGTAAAGAAAAAACAACAACAACAAAACTTTGCTAGCTCTGACATCACTGGGAAAAAACATTGTGGTCCCTCTTGAGGTCTTGCCATTTTCTAGCAACAATCACCAAACAAAATAGAAGCTTTCTCCGTCATCTCTCTTTGAAAATTCTAATCAGCTTGTGTAGAAGGGAAAAGAGCAAATGCTGAATCTGGGGAGTGAAAGTTATCTGGCTTTAGCAGAGATTATTGAGATGAAACGGGGAAAGTAGAGGAAAGCACTTTCAAATAAAATGCATGATATTCAGAAAGGCTACAAGAAATGGAAAGACGGTGTTTTCCTGGGCCTGCTAGGATTTGCAACATGAAAGAACAATGAAAAGGTAAGGATAATTACTCCAAGCAGTAAGGAAATGTTGATTTCATCTTTCTCAAGCTGACACACACACACACACACACACACACACACACACACACACTCACTTCCAGTATATTTGAAACTTGTCTTGTCCCAACTCCTGACTTCTTACAGCTGGCTCAGTATATCCCTTCCCTACCTCAGTCTGGACACCACAAAAAAGAAAAAAAGTTATTCAGCCCAGTGATGCAAGGTCTTTGGATTTCTCATTCAACATTTTATACTTTGATCCCAAGAGGAAACAGAAAATCCTAATGCCTAGACTTTCATTGGTTCGTATCAGCTCAGATGGAAAGGTTGGCAAGTGGGACAATCCTGAAGAAAAAGGAGTTACCCCCACGTCCTAAAGTACTTGGAAGTGCTCGCTGGGATCTGCTAACTCCAAGCTGGTGCAACTCCATCGCCCTCCAGTGAAGTCCCAGAAGCGATCAAGTTTAAAGTGAAAGGAGGATGGAAGCATTTTCTCTCCCTGTGCCTCCGGAGTCTGTGGCTTCAGTTTGCTGCAGATTCTCTCCGTGACGTCTCAGAAACCTCAATTTTCCACTTTGAGGGACAGAAAGCTACAAGGAAAACGCTGATGGCTTTAGTGGAGACTCTCCTGGAAGTCAGTGGTGTCCTTTGGTACATCTGTCCGTGGTGTCCCTTTGGTTTATTTCTTTGGTCTTGCTGCTCAGTCCCCAAGCTGCGCGGAGTTTGGCTCTCCAGCTCGCTGACTCGGATCCTGAGCTTCCTAAGCTCCCGCGGAGACCCTGGAGCCCCAGATCTGGCGCCGCTCGGCAACCTGGAGGGGGGCTGTGCGGCTGGAAGTGCAGTCCCCGGAGCCGCGCTTCTCTGGAACAAAGCAGCCAGACGTGGCTTGAGCGGATTCCTAAGCCCAGGATTGGACTGGGAACATCAGGGGCAGAGACGGAGAGCAGAGGAAAGAATGATGTGAGCAGCTAAAGCACTTTTCGGGTTCTTCCTGGAGATAGCTGTGTGGGTCTTCCTTACGCATGGGTGCACGTGTGCGCGCTTGGGATGAGCCCAAGGTTGTGCTCGAGTATACGCGCGCTTGTGCACCTGCAAGGCAATGGTAATGCCTGGCAGAGCTCTTTTTGGAATAAAATGAAAGAGCTCCCTATCCACCGAGGCCATCAGCGTGAGCCTTTGCCAAGTAGGCCAGAAGAAGTCCTTGTTAGCCAGCTTCCCTTTGCAGCTTCCTACTCTTCCATAGCCTTTGGGTACAAACTGGTATCTGGACTGGTTAGGATCAGAGCTGAGAGCGAAGGTGCCTGCAATGTTTGAAGACAACGTGCTGGTGAACTCACAACGAAAAACGGAAGGGTTTCAGGATTCTAGCAGAAAGGAATAGCAAGATTTCACTAAGGAGTTCTTAGAAGAAAGCATTAACTTTGCTTACTGGCTTTTTCAGGCTGGAGGAAGTGGGGCTAGGGTCGGGGAGAGAAGCACTGGGAGTCTTGTCGGAGTCTCAAGCAAAACCAGGCGAGGGCTCCGGGCAGATCCACTCCCACAGGGCCCTGTCTAACCTCCTTTCCAGTCGCACCTTTCTTCTGCTTTAGAGCCTGCGTCTGTGCCGGTGACCTTTGAGACCAGGTCTGGCTTATGAGGACTGTTAGGCACCCTTTCTGCCCTTGACATACTAAAATGAGACCAACTGCAGTATTTGTAATGTCTGATTCTGAGCTGTGTTGCTTCCCAAATGTAAATGTTCTTTTCAGAATCTGCGCCCATCTGATTAGTAAGCAAATCACCACCCACAACTAAGGGGACAGCGGAAGCCTGCCTCAGATGACTGAAACCCCCAAGTCAGTAGCTCTCCTCAAAATTTCCGGCGGGTTATAGCTAATGACTTTTCCCACCGCCCTAAGCAGCGGAAGCTTGACTCAGTGACGATTTTCTATCCAGTAACCGCGAGGAAGTGGGCGATCAGCAAATTGCCCTTTTGCAGGAGGCTGGGGACGCCCCTGGAAGTTCGCCTTCATCCTCCAGGTTTTCTGCCTTTTCCCTTCCCCCTTCCTGCAACGCCCCCGCGCCTCCTCAGCCTGGGGATTTCCCGGCGCTTCGCCGGCCCTCTCCGCGTCCCGGGATAAATCGGTTTGGAACACGTCTGGCTGGGAGGCGCGAGGGCGGAGAGCAGCTGAGCGGCCCGGGCCAGGGTCTCACGGACTCTTGGGGTCTGGCAGACGCGGCCGCTCCCGTCACTGCGGCGCGGGCCGAGCTCACGGCCGCGCGCCCGCCGCCGCCGCCTCCATGCTGCAGCGCGGGGCTCAGTTCCACTCGGCCAGGAGGCCGCCGTTGCCTGCACGCGCCGCCTTGGGAAGCTCGGTTCCCTGGCCCGCCCCGGCAGCGGCCGCCGCCCCAGACCTCAGCTGCTCGCCTTGCGCCTGAACTGCGGATTCGCCCCAGCGCGGTGGCCAGCGGGCGGGGCGCTGTGTGCAGCCGCGCGCAGGGAAGCGGTGAGCGTGTGCAGAACTGCCCCAGCCGAGGACTATGTATGTGTGTGCGCGTGTGTGCATGTGTTTGCTGGTGTTTTTCCTTCTTCCCTTGAGGGTGTGAATTGTTTCGCAGCTGGCTGCTCCCTTAGGATTCTTGACTTTGGGGAGCTCTGGGCTGTGAGCACAACCCACCCATATAATCCATTTTGCACGGTCGGTTATATCAGGGAAAAAAAAAAAAAAGCGCAACTGGACGGGGGTGGGGCAGACCGACGAAACCTGGAAACACACACACACTCAGGAGAGATGAAAAATTGAAAGACTTGAGAAGACTTTGATAACCTCCCTGCTGGCCCTTCTGTTTTCCGGAAAGATCCTGGATGTTGGCTACCTTTTCAAGTCGTCTTGGCATGTCTCTAGTGTTTTGTAAGCTGCTTTCCAGCTAGCTGCGTGTGTGTGTGCGCGCGAGTGTGTACGCGCGCGCCAATCTCATGCATTTGACTGTCTTTTATCCAACTGCCCAGAATGTGTTAACTCGGCGATGCCCCTTCATGCCCGGGTTCTTGCAGAGCTCTGAGGACGCCCGGACCCATTTTCCTGGCTGGATTTGGAGCGGCTGCTGGGCTGTGGACCCAGGTGTGTGGATCACTTTACCCAGAAGCTTGGAAAGCGCCAGTTTTTAACCGGCTTCCAGGTACATCACAAGGTCAAGAGAGGGTCTTGCAGCCCTCTTGTTTCCGTGTATCTACACCTTCTCGTCTTGGCCAGAAGGATATTTACGTGTTGGTCCACAGCATTTGAAGCCAAAAGTTCAGCCCGTCGAGCTGTTTTGCTATACAAAAAGAAAAAAAACAAGGTAATGAGGATTGCTTATCAAACTGCCTAACATAATCCTCACTCTTCCGCAGCCTTTTCCCGTCTCCCTCCTCCCCACCAAAATGTCACCAGCTCTTGAATTACGTGGATTCGGGTTGGAGGAGAACTTGAAGGAAACGTGATTAAACGGCTATGCGAGAACGCTCTCTTTGCTGCCCGCGGTCCGGTGGGCTTCGAAGCCACTCGTGAGAAGGACTGCTTCCCTCCGTGCTGCCTTCCTCCCCGTGCAGTGTTGGGTGTGAGTGTGCAAGTGTGAGTGCAAGTGCGCGCGCCTGGGTACGAGTGTGTGAGTGTGAGCGTGTCTGTGTGTGCGTGCGCGGCCGCCCTGCCTTTGCCCGCTCCCCAGGCGCGGAGCCGCGGGTTTCATGGGGCGATTGCCGCGGATCCCCCACCCAGCGCGACCTGCGGGCAGCGGCGGCAGTGGCAGGAGCCGCCTTTCCGACTCCCTAGGATGCGGGTGCTGAGCTATGGCAAAGGGCAGCGAAGTGACGAGCGAGACCCGGGTACGACTGTGAAAGCCACCTGGAGCCACCTTGTCGGGATTGTACCTGCAGGCAGAAAGTCTTCCTATGACCGTCTTTTCCCCTAGAGGCACCAGGTAACAAGCCAACGACTACGCGCCTCACCCAATTTCCTTCTGATCTTGTTTCTAGTGTCTTATCTGCATTGCAGCCTACTTTACTTATTAATGTTTTGAAAATCATTGGGAAGGATTGGGTATCCAAGGGCGCTGCTCTGTGATTTTGTAATACAATTTCTAGTAGGTGAAATATAAATCTATACCTGAGCACTTCATCTAGTAGTGGATGCTTTGAGAATATGGATGTGCTCCACCCTGAGGATATTTTTTGAGAGCTAGGCGTGTGGAACCTGTCTGAAGATGCCAGAGATCAAAATTCTGTGTTTCCTTCAGGCTATGGTTGCCACGGACCATTTGGTACCCAACCCTCTCCAGATTGTGGAGTGTGAGTGGGTGTTTGGTTTTCACCCATCATTTAAGCCAAATATGTTTTTTACACTTTTCTACCTCTGGTGCCAGGTTGTTTTCCTTTCCTTGTTGTGGAGGAGCTTGCCAGATCTTTTCAATAGTTGTAAATTACGCATCTGGAGACTTTGACTGGAAATGGAGTTTTCTTGGAACTTGGTTTGCATGAAAGGGAATATATTGCCACGGGTGTGTGTCTTGAGATATGGTGTTTAGCTGCCAGGGCGTGCTTTTATGTAGCAGAATAAATCCATGGAAGAAGTCGTTTTTATATCTAGCAGAACCAAGCTAAAACGATAGCCACCACCCAACATCCTCTCCAGCTGTATTGTCTCCGTCACGGAGAGGGGCTCCTGTGCGCGTTTTTTTGTTTGTGTGTGTTTTGCTTTGTCGCTGTATAATAGGTATTTTGATTTTTTTTTTTTTTCTGATGCCTTGATTTACAAGGAGCAGGTTGGATTTGCTACTGCCTAATTAACATATTGGGTCTGATATGTTAAAAGGAGATTCCCAGGGCAGGCTGAAGCGCAACAAATTTAGTTAACTTACAAAGCCCCTTACCCTAGCGCCTTTTCCCCCTGAATTCCCTTTCCTCTCATCTCAGCGCCCGCCCCCAACGTAAAATGTCACTACCTTCCTGAAGACATTAGAATTAACAAGATAAAGCACTTCCAAAGTAGTCTCATCAATGTTTTATTCCGTAGTGAAGACGGTCTTAATAATTTAGCTAAGGAGTGTTCGTTTGTCTCTCGCCTTTGGGAGCTGCTTACTGGCTATACATTCAGCGGAAGATTTTGCCTAGCCAAGCTCAGGATGCCTTGCTCCGGGAGGCAGTGACTGGGGCTGCTGGGGCGCGGGGGCTCTCTTTGCTAAAGCCGCTTAGGAAGTGTAGGGGCGCTGCCTGATTTTCCTCCACTCGCTGCGTTTCTATAGATATCCATATGATGGCATTTGCAGACTTCGAGCTGGCCGATAGCTGCTCTGCTTGTCCCTGCGCACTGACGTCCCCAGCTCTTCCTCGAGTCTGGGCTCCGCTGCTGCTGCAGCCCTCGCAGGCTGGGGGTGCTGCAAGGCTGTGAATTCAGCGGGCTTTGGGGGCTGGGCTCTGCCACTGCAGCTGGCAGGCCGGCTTTGACACTCTTTTTGGGGCGGGGCGGAAGAGCTCAGCGGACCCCCTGGCAGACAGCAAGCGGATCGTGGCCGAGGCGGCCGCCTGGATGTGAGAGGAGGGAGATGCCCACAGCCACAGAGGAGCATAGAGGGCGATGGTGTCCTGCCTTTGCCTGCAAAATCCTCTCTCTCTCTCTCTCTCTCTCTCTGTCTCTCTCTCTGTCTCTGTCTCTTTCTGTTTGTCTCTCTCTCTTTCTCTCCCCACCCGCCATGAATATTCAAGAATATGGAAGGAAAGCTGGCTACAAAAATGTCCTGATATTCAAATACTGCATGATTTATCAGGATTAAAATCCTGAAGCTAAGTGTGTGTTTCCTGGATTTTCATTTGTTCTTCTTTCTCCCCTTCCTTCTTGCTCTTCTGGGTTTGATCAGGTCATTTATACCCGTTTTGTTTCCAGTCGAAACACCTCTGTAAAGTCAACTAACCTCCCTCCCCTACCTGATACCCAATAAACGTGAAAGAGGAGGACAGGAGGGCCACTCTTCAGATTTGCTTTGTGACTTCAAGCTCCAGGGAGAACCAAGGAGTGATACAGAAGATATCTCGACTTTAACAGAACTTCATCCTGTGAGAACCAATGAAAAAATTGAGAAATTGCCTAGTTTAATGAAATAAATGAAAGATAACAGATAATTGGGAAAAATTTAAAAAGGATTTTTCCTCATATCTTCTCTTTTTAAAATTTTTCTCTTTTAGTGAATTTACTTCTAATCCTCCTATCACTCAGAAAATCTTAAACAAATCTGATTTGTTTATTCTAAACGTCAGACAAAGATACTTCTTTGTCCCCCTCCCCAAATTGCCCCAGAATATCATTGCAACAGTATTGATATCATACTTACAATATTTTTTAGCAAATAAGTCATACCTATCTAGAGAGTGCCCAAGAAAAAAGAAATGCTGGTGAATATAGGTACTTGGAAAATAAGGTGTTTTCACCACCTCCCACCTCATTTCACTTTCTTCTGGCCTTTTTCCAATAAGGATTCCATCTTTTGCAGGTTAAGTTTTGTTCTTCCACCCTCAGCCTCAGGGAAGGCAAAGCAAATGCGTTAAAATGGATGCTGAATGCTCAGAAACCTAAACATAGACGATGGTGTGATGCATGTTTGAAAATGTCACTCATTGGTGCAGATTAGAGTTAGGTTAAATATCATAACTAAATAGAGCTCCTAATACAAGTTTGCATGGACAGAAGTTCCTAAAGTAGGGGAAAAGATTTCTGCTGCCTTTTTCTTCTCCCTTTTCTGGGAAAATGGAAAGGGTACAAGTTACTTTGAAAATCTGAGTCCACTGTCCTTGTTAAGAATCATCTTTAGACAGAGCTAGCTTCACTCACTGGCCTGGCTCACTGATGAGTTAACACTGTCAGATATTGATAGGAAATTTCCAATAAAAAGCCTCCATCTTTGTAAGCCCTCTTTTAGTTATTAATAGGGACAGAACAATAGGGTATCTATAAGAACAGGCATAAGCAGATAGGTGGAAAGAAGTTGCCACTTGATCCTGTGCCCTGGATCATTTCTTTTAGTCATTTTTTTCCCTTTCTCTTTTCAAGAGGAGAATGACCTTGAACACCAGCCTTCTGTTCTTTCACACATCTCTCTCCTTCCCTCATAGATGTAATGTGTATACGACCACACACACCTTGTTTTTGAAATATGAGATTCCTGTGCTGATGTTTTGAGAGAAGTTCATAAAGATTTAGTTCTGACTGATACCAGCCAGAAGTGATTTCTTTCTTTTTTCTCAAGAGGGGATAGCAAGAGCTGTAGTTACCTGTGGGAGAATTCCCCACCCTATTCTCTCTTCAGTTATTTCTGTCTCCTCTGTCATTAAATGGATTCTGGGTGTCAAAGCAGTATCTGGTTATGACATTGGTGTTTAAATGATCATCATATGTCATATCATGTTTTATCACCCTTTCATCTTTTCATAAATGACTGTCATTTTCCTTTGTCCATTTAAATCAGTGATCGGGTTCTTGCTGTTTGAAGCACTTTTGGCTTAGTAGTTTTGCTGAGTTTTCTTGCTGGTGAAATTGAGATCTTGCTTTCTGCTGATCTGTTGCTGTGTTGTTGTATGGTTGGGATGAGATGCTTACAGATATCTAACAGTATTCCTGCCTCTACATGAAACTACTACATAATATCTAATAAATTATTCATTTAAAAATAAATTTATCATAAATAAGATTGCTAATAAGTATTATTGCCAATTTTGAGGTTGGAAAAAGGAAGCTACCAGAAACTTCCTAAAGGCTTAACTGGCTAACTTATTAGCTTATTTCAGTGATTTTTATTTTCTGTTTACTTGCAAATGTAACATACTGACTTTATCTTCAGGATTTTGTATATAGTATAAGAATTTTATGTTTGATGTATTATTGAAGGGTAAAAGTAGAAATTTGGACCTTATAGGTGTGTGGGCCCCTAGAATACATAACTAGAAGATAATTTTGCTAGATTATTCCAATGATACACATGTGCATACTCTGCCTTATTCAACAAGACTTGAGAGTGAGACTACTTATTCTGGTTCTAGAGCCCACATTTTTATTCCCCTGGCATCCTTCAATCATTGAGGACTATTTAGAACCTAAGGCTGTATAATTTGTTCATTACATGGTATGTGCATGGTGAAATTAAGAAGTATTATGTTCATAATTATTGAGGCTATTCCCGTTAGAGGTGAACCATTTTTATTATGCTCTACCAAAATAAATTGTATGTTATTATGAAAATCCCAGTTTCATATAACAGAAGACAGAAATATAAGAATGTAATTCAAATATAGTCAGTGCTACTTTTCAGCTTTTTCATCATATTGTTGTGAAAGATACTGTGTTGACAAAATGATATTTACTAAACATAATTTATTTTTACATAAAAAATTTACATGACATAATTTAATGCTAATTATGAAGTTAATAAGTAATAAAAATTACAATGGAATTACATGCTTGTATAACTGTGCTGTCATTTCACTGATTTCAAGTAAACAACATGAAAAGAATTTATTGTCTAAACTATAAACTAAATTTGTAATATTTCTCAGAAATTGGTTTTTATAGCCAATGTTTGTTAAGTTACATGGTCACATTGGCAGAAAATTTAAATTGACAAATTTTGTGCTTCTTAGAAAATATGTCCTTCTTTGGGCATATACCTAGTAATGGGATTTCTGGGTCAAATGGTATTTCTGGCTCTAGGTCTTTGAGGAATCGCTACACTGTCTTCCAGAATGGTTGAACTAATTTACATTCTCACCATGGCACATGTTTACCTATGTAACAAACCTGAGCATCCTGCACATATAGCCCAGAACTAAAAATAAAATAAGAAAATATATCTTTTTACAGAATAAATCTGTCAAAACTTAAAGCTCACACTGTTCTTGCATTTTCTTTGTGGGAACATATGTATAATGTATTGCTCTA